CTCGCATTTCATCCTCATCCTTCTTCTGTCTCTCCAGCTTGCGTCTTTTAAACCTCATAGTGCTTCTGATTCCTTTTTGCCATTCTAATCTTGATCTTCCCCTTCTTCATTGTAAGGTGTTTTTTCTCTCTTACAACCTAATCTAGATTCACCAGCACTTCTCAAAAATTCCGTTTCGACAGCAAGAAGTCTGTCCTGTACGTAAATTATATGTACGAGGTGTGTTCAAAAAGTAAGGTGACTCTTAAGTTTTATCAAAAAGTATTTACTTATTTATCAAAATTAATGTTGTCCCCTTCAAAGTAATCCCCCCAGATATAATACACTTACTCGTTTTGCCCAATCCTCGAAGCACTTTTTGTGGTATAACCTTGATTTATTCCTTTCTTTATCTCCTCAATCGTTCCAAACCTTCTTCCTTTCATTGGTTTCTTGAGTTTTGGGAACAGAAAAAAGTCGCAAAGGACCATATCCGGTTAATATAGTGACTGAGGCATGATTGTGGTTTTGTTTTTGGCCAAAAAGTTAGACACAAGCAACGATAAGTGAGCAGATGCATTATCGTGATGCAAAATCTATGAATTGTTTTCCCACAATTCCGGACATTTTATTTGTATTGCTCCTCGCACATGGCCCATAACTTCAAGGTAATATTCTTTATTGACCATTCGATCTTGTGTTAAGATCTCGTGATGTACTTACTACGCCACGATAACCAAAGAAAACAGTAAGAAAAACCTTGACATTTGATCAAACTTACTTTTTTGGGACGACTGGGCTTTGGTGTCGACCATAACCATATACCCATTATTCGTCCTAACAGTTATGACCTTTTTGAACATATCAGGAACATCATTGACATCGTTTAACAGCTCTTGAGCGATGCTTCTTCGACGGTCCCTTTGTTCAAAATTAAACAGTTTCGGGAAAAATTTTGCTGCTACACATTTCATGCCCAAAACTTCGGAAAAAATTGCATGGCACTAGCCAATAGAGATGCCGACGTCTTCAGTCAGTTAGTGAATCGATGATTTTTCAACACCGTTTGTTTCACTTCTTCAACGCTTTCATCAGTTATGGACGTGCTGGGGCGTCCAGAGCGAGGTTCGTCATCGGCGTCTTTTCGGACATCTTGGAACAGCTTATACCACATTGTAAACATTTTTTTTTGCTCAAAGTAAATTCACCATATGCCGTTTTTAACATTTCCAGTGTTTTGCATCACTGTATACCATTTTTTAAACAAAATTGAATTCAAATTCTTTGTTCCATTTTTTTTTGACAGCAGAAAATCTCCGAGCTTACAAAACAAACTAACGCTTCGGTCTCACAAACAAAGAAAACTTGCAAATCGGTGAAACTGTGAACATATGTTAGGGACATGTGTACCAACATAACAAAAAAATATCGAAGACCAAATGTACGTGGCCCTCCCAATTACGAAAGTCAACTCACTTTTTGAACACACCTCGTATATTTATAGAACATCCATATTTCAACACCATAGGTAATATTTTTTTTTTATTTTTTTTTAATATTAATATTTAATTAATAATTTAATTTAATTAAAATTAAATAATTAAATAATAATTATTTAATATTAATAATAAATATTAATAAGGGCGTGGCCTGATAATTATTTTTCCTGGCCCTATTTTCCTTTCAATGTCCTGGGTAATTGTATTCCAATTGTTTTGCCTTTTATATTGGGTTTGTTAGATTTAGACTATTAATAAATTTAGACTATTAATAAATTAGCACTCGGGCTATGGGAAACGAACTAGACGCCTCTTTTTCCTGAGGCTTATGCAGCAAACCACTTGGACTTGATGTTTATTTTAACAGTGACCTTACAATATTGTTCATCAATTGTTAATTACGCGGTGCTAACAGGGTGTTTTCTAATCTGATCAATTTTTTAATCATATATTAAGTCCTGCGTTGGTTGTTTACAAATCAAACTTGTTGACGTTTCGCCAATCATCCTGTTGGCTTCTTCAGAGCATAACTGAAACTTATTAAGATAGTAATATACTTGCACTGTTGCCACATATATAAGAAACAACAATCTTCTTTGGTTAACCGTTTGCGTCAGACATAAGATTTTGTTTTGTCTTGAACAGGTCCACATGTGCAATTATCTCTCAACTCCAGCATTTCTTTCTGACACATGGATGTTCTGTCTCTCTTCGTGAGTGAATCGGTTTATGTATTCCTACATATCAGCCTTCTAGGAGTATAAATTCTACGGGTAAACTAGTAAAAGTTAGGTGTCGATATAGTCACGTGATCCACTCCAAACAAGTCTCCATGCTTTATTTGTATAAGCGGGAAAATAACAATAATGATAATAATCTTAATAACATAATATCTTTCCATTGAGCGAGTCGTACGTCTGGCAGATTATTCCATAAGACTTCCTACATCCGGTAAATCGTTCATTTCAGCCTCAAATTACTTGGCAAATTATGGAGCCTTGACCGACGCCATCCAGAAACCATTGAAATATGTGCCGACCATAGTGTTTAACAACCAATACAAACAAGAGGACAACACTTTGGCCCAAACCAATTTCGTTAAAGCTCTTTGCCAGTACATCAACGGTGAAAAGCCCATGGAGTGTAGCGGCGCCAGTTCTGTTGCCGTTTCATTGGGGTTTCTGATCCTGTCGGGGATGATTCCAAGATTATTCCGTTAAGAGGTTAGTTAGTATGTGCACAAAAATATTTAAATTCCAAATAGTTGTCTGTTTGATTTATAAAGGAACTTCGAGTTCGTGGTTGGAAACTCTAAAGCCATAACCTATAAACATTTTCTTTGTTAGAATTTTTGTTTGACTTTTTTAATTAATGTTCTCAGCGACTGAATGATTACAACTAGGTCGGCATTTCCATAGCCACAACTGATGTTGTATCATCATTATTATGACCGCAAGGTCAACACGTTCATGAAGCTGGTGAAAACATGGTTATCGAGTTATCAAGTCGAAAACTGTAACTTTTGATTAAAATGTATAATTTTGATTAAATTAGATGTATGACATTCGCAACGTCTCTTTAAAGAAGAATATAAGCTATACCAATCATCAAATGATGACGTCATTCCCATTCAGCCGTAGTTCAACCACAACCGCGAACTTCTTTTATAAATTCGTTGTAACGTCCCTCTGTACGAGTCTGATATTTGAAAAAATGAGTGTACTTACAATTCGTCTCTTATTGAATCTCAGTATTTTGAAATATTTTTGTTATTGTTATTTTTTTATAATCGTTGACCAAGTAATAAGTACCTTCAACATGCCTTAGAGGAAAAAAGCCTCCTCACCCAAATGTTTTTTAAACGTTTAAATGTGTATAAAATAGATTTAGTCCAAATATATAATAATAATATACAGTTTACTTAATAAATAGTTCCGACCACTTTGTGTTTTATATCATTTCCCTCCCACTTAATCCCAATTCAAATATTTACCCAAGTAAACTTTTTGCCACTTCGAACTAGGTTATAACGGGTCGCAGATCACTGACTGGTACAAATTATTTCTGTTAGACGCTAATTCCTTTTGCTAGCGTCACAACAATTGAAGCGATGCTAATATGATGCTAATTGACGCAAGTCCAAACGATAGCAAATTGCATTTAATTCATTTTGAGGTGAAAAGGAGTATTACTTTAGAAATGAGTCACTCCATCTGCATCAAAAATTGAACTACTTTAGCAGTAGACGTCCAAGGAGACATCTGTCTTCTTAAGCGGGCAGCATTTATTAATTATTCTTAAATATTTGGAGAAATTATTGGCAGTCCTACAAGATATGAAGGTCTGAATTTAGAGACTTTATCAACTGAAAATACCGATTCTGCCCAAAAGCCTCTGAGATAGCAAACTTTTTCAATTTTGAGGAGGCGCCCTAAAAAAAACTCGACAGACGGGTATAGGACATCGAGGTTCGGAAAACGCTTCGACGTAGGACCGAATTTTTTCTTCCCGCCCATAGGTAACGCGTACCTCACCAACTTCAAACCCTCCTCAATTTTGAGGGCCGAACGTTTCATCCCCAAATGTAGCCTGGGGCCGTCGGAATCCAACGCAGCAAGCTGTGTTTCAATCCAACCACCCGCCTACAAAATAATTTTTCCTCCCGAAGAAGATGCCGAAATCCGTTTTCTCGTAAGAGCAACCGTTTCGTCGTACCTCTCATCAACTGTAGAACCCTCAATTTTGAGGGGGAAATATTTCAGCTTTTTATAGGTAGCCCAGATACTAGTATCCCATAAAAGTTTTGGTGCCGATCCAATCAAAAAAACGCCAAAAACGCGTTCGCGCTTAAGTGTCCAGTTTAATGCTTTTTAATTATTCTCTATTTAACCCCCTTTTGGTAGTTTGTAATCGTTTGTGCCTCTTGGTTGTGTACAATTTTCTGAATAAAAGAATATTTGATTTTGGCATTTCATTTCGAAACGACTTTATTTTTTAGGTGTAATTTAAAATTTCACTTACCATTTGCTTTCTAGGTACAGTTGCTCGATTCAATTTATAATTTCGATTATTTAAATTACCCAAAATCGGCAAACAACTACTGGTTTGCACGCTTCCCGTAATATCGGGAATTGCTCAAAGATTTGGGATCTCTTATTATTTTCATTAACTATATTTCAACTTGTAAATATTCTGTGTTATGCGAATGATTTGAAACTTTTTCCACAGGTGTCAAGTGTTCCAATTGCTTTTAATTCAATTATTTATTAATTAAATGTTATTGGTCAGATACAGACGCAGTGATTTTAGACTTGTCATGAATTATAGTGAAGTATTATCTCACAAGTTTTATATTTATGTTATCTACTCGAGAGTTTCACAGAAGAAGGTTTTGGCAGCTATATTTTGTGTAAATTAGCAAATTTTTATTAATATATTGACTTTTTTGGAATTTTCGTTCCACAATCTATAGGGATTCTTCAATTTCAAGTTGGTTGGCGGTGCGTAAAAAAAAACGACACGTTTATGTTCAGAACAGTTTAATATCTTAAAAGGAATCGGAGGTACCTCAGCAATTTAATGAACATTTACTTATGACAAAGAAATAAAACAAATACCGCATGTAAAAATAAAAATTTGTATAGAAAAAAGCTCGCGCAGCACAACTAGGACACTTTAGTAGAATATATTCAATTATTCCCCACAATTAAAAAACAAAAAAACAAATGATTTACCGGCTCAGCACAAACTCCTATAAACTCACAACAGCATAATTAGAATAGTTACCTCTCATACTTAAACATTTTTTATCAGTTCACGGAATATTCCCTAAAAATTTCAGTAACATAACAGACTTTTTTGGTAATTACATTTCAGAATCAAAGCCCTATCCCTAACTGAAAAATGCTTTCATTAAGAATGCTCCCAAACCGAACGATCACAAATTGAACGCTACTCACTGCCAAGATTAAGCTTACCTCGTTATTTGAAATACAACCCCTCAGTTTGCTTGAAATCCGGAGGCATTATCAGCGACTCTATGAACTGGTTGTACGATAAGAAAAACACTTCCCATTGCATAGTTTTGCAGAGCTCCTTATATAACAGAGCGCATCGCTTTGACAATTCAGCAACGCACAACTTTTGCTGGTCGCTGTTCAGCGGGAAATTGCCGATCCTGCCGCTGATCGAGCTCAGCTTCATCCGCAATTCGATCGAAGACTCCGGCACCGACGTCAAAGTCTGCTCTTGCAGCTCCAAAAACTCGTAGAACAACCCGGCTTGATTGTGCCACTGTCTAATACCCTTGGATCCGGAGGATATCTTGTCCACCAGGTTTTTGAGGACGTCGAATTGTTCGTTGATGAATAAATTAGGTAGCAGGTGATCGATAAGTATATTGTTGGCCGCGATGTAGTCTTTCGCCAGAGCGAAATGATTGAACGCTTGTAGGTATCGTTCGAGGTGCAGACACTTGTAGCCTTTAACTTTGTGCACCCATTCGGCCGGTATATGCATGTCGTTGATCAAGGTGTCGACGATTTCTTGCCTTTCGCCGTCGCTCTCGGGGCTCAAATTACGATCCAAAATGCCCATAATTAGCGTTTCCTTGGCCGAACTGTCCTCGAGATACAGAAGAACGAATACCGCCCATTCCCAATGGCCGAGCTCCTCCAATTGATTCGAGAAACTCGTGCACAGTTTATTGGCCTCCGACACCTCTATCAGACCTACCTTCAGCGACAGGAACAACTGAAGCAGAAGCCAGCTGAAATTTAACCCGAACGTGAATCGAATGACGGAAATGGCAATATCAAATAGTCCAACCTCAATCTGTAGTCCAAGGGATCGTCTGTGACGGTGGCCGGATTTAAAACGCTACTCAGTCTGTGTATTCCGGACTTGTACAGCATGAGAATGTGGTAGATTACGTCAAAGGGACCTTCGTCGGAACCCGATTCCGTCGAATAGACTGGACTGGGGTGTTTGGCATAATAAAATTCTTCGAATGATTTTTTGTATAATTCAATCGCCATTTCTACTGGCGCGCCAGCTGGGCACATATACCTAGGAAAAATCGGCTCATTTGAACTACTTCGAAGATACCATGGCCATGTTCCGATAAAACGCAAAATTTAACCATATTTACGGCAATATTGACAATCTTGATGGTCAGCGAATTCGTCAGGTTCGTTAAAAGTCGGTGGAGATATTAAAGATCTGTATTGTTGGTTATAACTGTAATGGATATGTTCCCGGAAAAATTAGACTTAAATTTAGTTTATTTTTGACATATTTGATATGATATTTTTAGAAATCATTAAGAAGAGATGTATCTATGCTGATAATTGAGGCACTTTTAAAACCAGCATCAGTCTACTGTAAGAAAGAACATGGGAATATTTTCGGACCTGATCAAGACATTCGAAGCTGTTTTTTGTTTTGGAATACAAAGACTTGTTTAGATATGAGTTATATGAGTTAAGAAATGTTTACCTAAATAATATAAATGCAAAATAATGGTAATATTTATTGTTTCCCTAATGACACTGTTTTAATTTTTAGGGGTGATGCTTAAGGCTATATAAAAATCTAAACATGTAATTAATAGGATGAAAGTTTTTTTGGTTAGTTCCACTCACTAAAGTCTGATCTGAATTTGAAGAACTTACCAAGCATAAAGGATCGAACTCTATGTAATTTTAACAGCAAAATGCAAAAACATGTGAAAATAAAATCGTGAGAGAAAAAAATTTCAAATATTTAATGTGTGTGCTTATTGTATTTAGATAGGTAAAAATCTAAAATAGTCGTATCAGGAAGAGTATGTTATAAGCAAAGTTAGGAAGCTTTAAGTTTTATATCTGGGGCAGTGCATCTGGGAATTCTATGTCTACATTGCAAATGGCACAAAAATATACAATAAATATGATGCGGGTTAAACCTAGGCTCTAGCCAACATTTATTATTAACGTCAACTTATTATAGAAATCAGGATTAGTTGTTCACAAGAATTGCGGCAAATCATGACCTGATACTTTATATTGGTTACAAAATATTCACAGTATTAGAAGTAAGAAATATTACAAAGAAAAAAAAATCATAACTGAATATTGCAAACAAATATCAAGTTATTAGTTGATGTACAAGTCATTTAGGCTCTGTATTTTTGCAATTGAGGAATATTCATAAATCTATATTTACTGTTATTGGCTCTGGAGTTTTCGACTAGTAAAGGCCATCTACAAAAGTGCTAGAAAAAAAGGATTTCCTCAAGATTAAAAAAAAGGTAGCATTTCACCCCTGAAGGAAAGGAGAAAATGCGAACAAACTCTGAAAAATAAATGAAAGGGATTTTTATATAACGCTTGAAAATTTCACAAAACAATTACAAAAAATATATTCAGAGACTTTAAAAATAACAAGAAAAAAAAAGAAAAGAAAAGAAGGACTACTTTGTCTACTGACATGTATTGGGATGGTTAGGAGAGATGCAACAATTTGAACGGATTTTTTTTTACAAGTATTGTTCATTAGGCAGTTTTAGTTTTATATGTTTGAAAATTTTCTTGGGTTTCCATTTTTTTTTTAAATTAATTTATAATTCATTCAAGACTAAAACAATTATGCGATTTCGTGGGAGTACAACATAACACATGTTCCATTCAGCCACACGTTGGCTTTAATTGCTTCCTGGCGTAAAAAGGATACTGAAAATTTTTGAGGGATTAAAAAGATTTTTTTTTTCTGAGGAAAAAGCTCCGAAAATCTTATTGATATTTTTCAATAATCCCTAGAGTGAAACTATCTATGGTCAATTGCATGTGTTTCAAAAAGGAATTAAAAAAAATAGAAGGTAATAAGAAATACTGAATTGAAGTTTATTCAATATTGGAAGCTAGACAACGTAATGTTTTCTTACAAATCAGTGTAAAAAATGTCTTACGAGAGAAAAAGGAGGAAATAACGCAATCGATGATGTCTTAGTTATAAGCGGGAAATTGACAACTTTTACAACACAGCGTATGAATACCATTTTATGTGGAAGGAAACAAATGCTAGTCTCCTTATTCTCTTGAATGTCACCTTTAGAAATACCAGCCTGGAAGAAAGTTAAGACCGCCTGAATGTATCTCAAGAAAAAGGAGTAAAATTAGATGATTCTCTACACTTCAATCAAATGAGTAACGTAAAGAAAATAATAATTGAAAAATCCACAGAATGGAAGAATGAGAATATGCTGTTATGAAAAATGGGTGGATTTTTTTTAAATGTAGCGAAGAAACTGAGGAATAGTCCGAAATTTTGAAACTACATCAGCAAATGTTTTCAATTCCACCTTATAACGCTAACATTGAACGATTTTTTTCTCTAACGAACATATAGTCGACAGACGAGCCAAATCAAGTGGACATTTAAACCGTACAGTCCATTCTTCAAATGCTGACGAATTATGATTGGAACTGCCAAGAATTTCACGCAAACCACAGAAATATTAAAGCAAGTAAGGTCAACAAAAAAATAAAAGTAATTATTTATGTAATAATTACATATCATTTTATGTATCTGTGACTCAGATTTAATTGTATTGATTAAATAATTTATTTTGTTTTTCATAAACTATTAGAACATGATAATTCTATTACATTGATGTAATTATTAGATATTTAATATATAATATAATATATGACAATGAGACCAATGCGTTTTTTACAAAATTTCGCGGGGTTTGGTGTTTTCGAAATATGGTCACCATGCCTATATTTTATATTACTCTCTTTACATTGAGACACGAAATATAGTACCTGCGACTTACCACAAGTGCATGGCAAACGCCCGTTTCCAATCGATACCGTCGAAAATATTGACGCCGTCTTTGGTGGGAACGCCGGACAGAAGCAAGTAGAGCTTCTTCATGGCGTCGGAGATGTGATTGGCCGCCAGGGAACTGTACCAGATGTCGATCTGTTCCTGTAGAAGCGTCTTAGTCGCGTTGGGCACGCTCAACTGGGCAATCAACAGAGACAAACTGGGCAACCGGCCGTTCATCGCTATACTCGCGGCCTCGAATATTTGAAAAGTGGACAAATGGGCAAATATAGACTCGACCGCTTCGCCCACGGAGCCGAATCGGCCGGTTTTTAGAGGCAACTCATCGGAAATGGTCGTGACTTTTAGCCACTCGGTGAGCAAATGCCTCCGGTTGGAAACGGTGTTTTCGGCGGGGCCCCAAAGCGCCGTACACAGTGTCCAAATGCTGTAGAGATAAACGGACTGCTTGCTGTTATACTGTAGGGCTAACGTTTCGAAAAGGGCGGTTTGTTTTTGAAGGTACGAGCTGGTTTTGCCCACTTTAAAAGTGGGAATTCGCGATTTGCCCAGTTCGAACGTCGATTCTTCGAGAACAACGCGAAGGGCGTCGATCAAAACGTCCTTCAGCGGATCGAAATCGGGCGATCGGTTGAACGTTTTCAACATCACCTCACCGTTGGATTCGCGATCCGCGTCTCCGTAAACCGTGAAATTAAATCCTTTGGACCAACCGACTTTGAAAGATTTTCCTTTGAGCATCGCCATATCGGTGCAACACCTGCTCGGTAGCACCACATCAATGGAACCCGGAGTATCGTATCCGTTAAGGACGGTCCATACTTTGGGTCTGAGCAGGGGCCTTTTGCGCATCGAAATTTCCTCCTGGAGTACCGGCATGGTAGGAATGTCATCCATTTCGGGTAGATCGAGGTACTGCTTTAATATGGAAATGTGACTGCCGGTACCGTCGGATAATCGGTCGTCCTCAGCGAATAGTGTAGATTTCATAACCTTAAAAATATAGTAAATAAGTGTCTATAACTCCGGACTAAAACTGAACTACAAGTCCATTATTAATCTTACCCCTATTCAACTTTTTATTTTAAATTTTAGAAAAAAAAGTTTAATACAAAAGTTGTACGGTTTAATATGTAGATTTAATGGTTATTTATATATAAGTTGTATCAAAAAAGCATAGCATTTCAAAGTTATATTGTTTGATTCATAGAAATGTCATGATTGCAAAAATATATAAAAATTTATAGTTATGTATTAAGGCCCGAGTTACTCCAAAATAAGATCAGTGAATTGGGCAAAATCCAATCCAAATGACAAGTTTCCAGAAAAAATAAGGCAGTGCGTTTTAAATCCTGATAAATAATATATCCTTTTATATTACTTAGGTAGGTTTGTTAAACAAATTTTAAAATATCCATTAAATTTCATAAGCGCATTTACAGAAGAACAATTTTAAATTTAAATTGCAGCATTTGGCCGAGGAAAATAAGACTCAGCGACTAGAAATTTGCACGCATATGTCGAAAAATCCACGTTTTTCGTAAAATTGTATCAACTGACGCATCGACTTTTACCACAGTGGGGAATTGAAAAAAAAAACAAATTTATTTTGGGCGGCATGACAAAACATTAAAGAAATAAATAGGAGTGAAACAAAAAGTTGATGACTCGATAATTAATCTGTACAGGGGTTTTCAAACCAACCCTTTCATTAAAAATTTATTGAGATATAATTTAGAAACGCCCCTCAATTTTTGGGATAAAGATAATGTGTTTTTTAAAAATATTTTTAATGTCTTGTCACTTCTGGTTCAACCGAAAGTGGCCGTCAACTTACTTATTTCAAATGGAACCTGTATATCATTATAATATTAAAATTCTGTGGAAAATTCTAAACACATTTTATGTATAATGTCCTATACCTACATATATACATATTTTTTATGTAATACATTGACGGACCCTGTTTGATTTTTGCCTTTTTTTATATACAATATTTCGATTTTGTTGTGAATTGAAAATATTATTCATTTACCCATGCGATAGAGAGATGTTTAAGATATGATACATCTGTCATAATTTTTTCATGTCATAATATCATTTTGTATGCGCCTATTTGCATTATTAGAGATTATTTTTTATCGAATTTTGAACAATAGCAATAATTGACGTAACGCCGTGATGATGCATGGCCAACTGAGCGACAATTTTTGGCTAATTCTAATATTATAACATATATTTTAAAAGGACATAAATAAAATATAACTTCAACACTAGAACTTTTGTAATTCCTTTTCTTCTAAAATTTAAAATAAAAAACTTAGAGGGGGAGGTCAGATTTATGGTGGATCACCTAAGTATTTACTTGAATGTTCCTGCTGTTCTCATAAGACCCAAAATGCAAATCCATGGGGACTTCCGGCGGTATGCGGTGGTAGTCTTCATCGAAGAAGTCGTCGACCAGCATGCTTTGATGTAGAAGGTCGTTCTTATCAGATTGATCGTCGTCGTCGTTGACGAAAATATCTTTTTCTAATCCAAAGCCCGTCGATTTGGTGAGCCTATATTACGTGTTTTCAAAGTAACGGCAACAAGGTGTACGGGGTTTGGGGAGTCAGTGATGTTTTGAAAAAGAAGCTTCTAACTGAATTAACGTATAAAATTCTTTCAGCGACTTTTGATGATATATCAAATTATATAACAAATACAAACCGCAATAAAAAATGCCTGAGATGAAACTTTTCAAAATGTTCTCCTAAAAATACAAAGTAGTTTCACTGGAGGAACGCATGCTCTGTGACTAGTCCAGGTTCCTACGTTTATCAACAACTAGCTAAGTGCTCAGAACAAAGTTTTAAAAAAAATCAAGGAAGATATTATCAAAGATCAATAATAAAATATTAGTTTTTCTCCATTCTAGATGATATAAGTAAAATATGTTCGTTGACGTTACGTTTTCGTAGAATATTTGTGGTCAAGAAGAATAAAAATTAACACCTGTTTTTGAAAAGTTTTAGAAAAAAATTTTTTTTTCTTCTAGAACATTGTTTTTCTCAAAGCACATCGAAGTAAAGCAAGTTTGAAATAAAACAATATTTTTTTTTAACGAAAACAATTACTGTTTTGTCCATTTGTAAAATAAAAGACAAAAAATATTTAAAGACGATATCAGTTTATCTTATGAGTAAAAATGCCTAATTTAAAATTCGTACCCTAAATAGCAGAAACACCATATAGAATGTATGAAAACCAAGATTTTCACCGCATCTCGTTTACAAAGTAAAAACCTCTCGACAGCAACTGTAGGTTATTGAATATATTATTATACTTTTTAAAAAAATCAGATAACTTTAACACAACGATCAAATTACAATTTATATAGGAAAAGTCAACCGATTACAAAAATAAAAATTATGTTTACTAGGCACTAAGAAAATTTCTTGAAAAAAAAATGCAAAAAATATACAATTTGACGAGCAGATATGATATTCAATAAATTTAGAATAACACATAAAATATTTATTTATTTATACCGGTCAATTTTTTGTGCGTCAATTGACGGCAATAATTTTAAAAAATACAATGAATTTTATATTTACTTATTTATATTTATTTACATTGTGCGTTACGTCTCAGTCCCGTGGTTCTGAGAAGTAAACGGAGTTGATATTTTTATTGGGATTCCCGAATCGCTAAGTATCGTATTCGTATCGTATAGTAAATTGGACATCACAACGGCATAATTATTTACTACAAAATACATATTATTATTAAATAAGGATAGATAACAAATGTTAGCAATCAAAATAAATAAAAACTAAAAGTTCAGATTTTCACGAAATTATATATTATGACATGACAATTGTTTCGACAACACCGTGTCTTTATCAAATGTGTTGTCGAAACAATTGTCATGTCATAATATATAATTTCGTGAAAATCTGAACTTTTAGTTCTTATTTATTTTGATAAATGGATTTTCATCAAGCAAGAGCCACCTCAGTTCAATTAATGTTAGCAATTATGGAGGCAAGATGATATTTAAAAAATTTTGATAGAATTTGACTAGTCAATTAAAAAATGGTCAATTGACCCAACACTAGTGCTGATTTCTCAAACACACACAAAACCATCTGCACTTAATTGTCATTTTGCTTAATAAGTAATTTTTACATCTCGCAAATTAGACACAACAACAATTATGGTTATAATTATATCAAATTTCACTCAATTACAGAGGGATATTTAGACGGACAAACTGGGGTCGCTAGATTTAAAAGGAAGGTAGAATTCAAAAATAAAGTGTTGGCCGCGAGAAGTTATCTTTTTCCAAGTTTATTTCGGCCATCAGTAGTATAGGTACCGCATACGCTTTTCCGGGCCATTATGTAGTTGGTAGCAGGTAAATAAGAAACAAACATCCAACTTGTTCCTTACTTGAGATGTTTGTAAGTAAATCGTCCGTCAACAAGCGATATGTCTCAGAAGTCAAAACTCCGCGGCGTACTTAGAGTATATACATACGGTCGAGAGGACGCTTCTTTATGTTAAGCAGGGTATGCAAGTGTTATTAGACGCGTTTACCCCATTTACAGGGTGTTTCCAAATGATTGTCAATTAATAAGTGGGCAATTTTTGGGTTCAACTTTTGAGATACAGGGTGATTAGGTTTTCAAAAATAAAATATACCTGTTTAATACGTGCAATACCACTTTACATATTTTTTTTTAAATACACCGTCGCGGGCGAACGGAATTTCGGAAAATAAAAATTTTTCTCACAATCTCCAATCATTTCTGAAGAAATTTTATTTCATGGTCACAAAATTATCGTTATATGACAGTATATCTATCTGTTTTATTAAAATACTTCAAAAAATCGAAGTACGAAGATGAAGTACTCAAAGTTACATAAATAAAACAAATTTAAATAAGAATCGTTTATTATTTACCTGGTTGTTAGGATGTTATGTTATTCCATTATAACAGTAAAAGTAAAAAGAGGCCTTCTATTTATTTTTGAAGTACACTAGTTAGGAAACTAAACTTTGTTTTAGATAGATATCGCACGGGTTTCATTTAAAAATAAAAAGTAATTCATTGTTATGACCAAGCAGACAAGAGGTTTTTATTTTTTTAAGCGAATACATTATATTGAAAAAAATCAAAAAATTAAATTTCTTTAACCCGTTTTTTCCCGGTGTTGTTGTTGGTATTGGCCTGGTGTTCCAATATTGGAACAACTACGTTTTCCCCCCACCTGTTCAAATGGAGCCTCCGGGGATGCCGCTGCGCCGACTCAATCGATTTAGTAACGTTGTAGCCAGCATAAGAACCTCTACACTGTGCATCAGTGCGACATTTTCTCCGTTTTTTTTCGCAATTTTGTATATTTTTTTGGAATCTCTCAATATGACATCAAAAAAGTAAGTATAATTGTTGTAATATTAGTATTAAAATTATTATATTTGAAAAAAAGGCTTGCCTGTAATATGGTTTAACACTTTTTTCCTGCTTTTGAATATATAATAACAATTCACTAATTTATTTTGACATATTTGATTTGTTCCTATATTGGAACACCGGGGCCCAAATGGGTACGTCATTTTTAATTTTTATTTTAGGTATTATACAACTCAAGAACTAATTGATTTGGTTGAAACTGAGGGTTTTTGGCAAGCAGATGTGTTTATTGGTTCCCCAAATGACGGATTGGAATCAGAAGAAGACTCTGATGATGATGAGTCCCCTATTGCCAATGTAAATCACCTTAGTGGACGTCAAATGCAATCAGAGGCTTGCGCAATAATAAAAAATATCAATGGAGTAGTTTCCATTGGAGATTATGAACAAGAGGAAAATAACGACAGCTTTTCAATCATTCAACAGGCAGGAACCTCAGATATTGCAAATTATGAAATTCGTTCTCCCGAACCATCTGACGGAAATGCAAGTGATGATAGCGAAAATATACCTTTAGCGCTGCTAATTACTGGAACTAATGTGAATACAGTGGAGCCAAATTTAGAGAGATCTTGGAAAAAAATTGAATTCCCGATTTTGTTTCTGCCATAGAACCCGATACACATATCAATTTCCCAGATGCTATTGCCTGTTTTGAATCATTTTTTGACGAACAAATATCTACTTATTTGGTAGAAATGTTTGAATTATATGCTAGGCAAAAAGGCAATCATCATTTTAGTACTGATACAGGAGAAATTAAATGTTTCATTGCAATTTTATATTTACCAGGTCATTTACAAATTCCAAGATGGCGTATGCTTGGGGAAGTTGATACTGATATAAAATCCATTAGTAGCTAACGCAATGCGCAGGAATAGATTTGAGACTATGAAAAAAATTACACATTGCCAAGTTCAATATAACTTTTCAATATGCTAAATGAAAGATATTTATCCCATGCTCCTCTCAACGAGAAATTGCGTGTCGATGAAAGTATGGTCCCATACTTTGGAAGGTACGGGACAAAACGTTATATTAGGATTAGGAGGATCTGTGATAACGACTCTTTTAGAAAATCTACCAAAAAATCTACCTTTCAAAAAATATATGGCGACAGATATTTTTCATCTCTAAAATTGATAAATTTGTCCTTTGCGTGATAACTTGCTGCAACTGAAAAAATGCCAACGGGGAAGCTTTGATTTTTGTAACGTTAACCCTATGGAATGACAATCGTCCAGTTTTAACTGTCAGTAGTTGTGATCAAGTAAATCCCATTTCTCAAGTTGGTCGCTGGATTTCCACTGAGAAAAAAAAAACTCCTATTCCTCAGGCATTTGTAATAGACCAATATAATAAATATATGGGTGGAGTGGACGGGATGGACCAAAACATCCACAATTATTGAATAAGCGTTCGTTCTAAAAAATGGTGGTGCATGCATAACGTTTGGCAATATTATAGACTCCAATCAAATTGCGAAAGAGTTGGTTTTTTACAATTTCAACGAGAAATAGTTCAGGTCTGTTTTACCAATTTTAGCTGGAGGACGTCCAAAGACATCAAAGCCATTAGATTTAAGAAGTTTCAACCACATTAGATATGATGGCTTGAATCACTGAATTATTTCAGCTAAAAAACAGAACAGGTGCGCCCTTTGCCATAAAAACTCAACTCAAATGTGTGAGAAGTGTGATATCAACTTATATGAAGCTTGTTTAAAAACTTATCATGTTCCTGATGCTTCGTTTCATGTTTTTTTGAATTTAAGTAAAATTATTTATTTAAAATTTAAAAAACATCATTTTTTTTTAATAGAAACGACACGAAATCAGTGGCATACCATCAAGGTCAAAATAGACAGATGAAATTAACTGTTGTATTTAAAAGTTTGACAATTAGGAAACACCCTGAATAATTATTGAATCCAATTCCAAAAAAATTGAAATTGCTTTTGAATTACTGTTAAATTTTTAGGCTTTAAAACTAAACGACATTTGTCTGTTTCGTACCATTTCTTATTTTGGAAATATTCCTTTTATAATAGTTACTCTTCAGAATTTAATTTAAGGGCGTATATTACTATATAAATAGGCGTTGTCACCGCATAGTAGTAGTAGACATTTTGTATTTTGTTTGGCTTGTATTATTCCTATTTGTGTTTTGCTCTAGTTTTTGTATGTTGTTATACAATAACTAAATAATAATAACTAAAGTGCGAAAGTGTTAGGCGTGCAAAAATTGAGTTCCAATTTCCAATTATCCAATCAAAAATCCTTTAACAAGTTCTCTCTATTCTAGTTCTTCTCATTTATAATATTAGATCCCGCCTATATCGCCGCATAGAATTGTTGGAATAAAATACTGAACTTTTTTATAAATAAGTAGGGGAGTCTATCTTTTATTTAGTCTGAGGCGCCGTACCTGTCACCTTCTGCTCCAATGAGCGGCGAGCCCTTTTTCCCGAGCAATATTTTCGCACTTTCTTTCGTCGCCCTTTCGGAGACCTTCTCGTTGCCGTTTGCGACCTCCCGCTTGCTCTTCTGGACCACGTCGCCGATTTCGTACTGATCGTTATCTTCGTCACTGTCGTTGTAGCCGTACTTTGAAAAATGGTCCACCTTGAAAACCCAACTGCCGGTCTCTGGTCTATAGTCCACGAAGCGCACGCCCTTTTTCTCCGTCACGCGTCTCAGTTTCTCCGCAAAGTTCATTTGGACGAGATCGTCGACGTCCTTGACGATGACATTGCTGCCCGCCTTCCTAGGGTATACATTGTCGAGGGTGACTTGCGCCCTGCGATTCAGACCGCTCCCCACCGGCGGTTTTTTCGTGTCGTCCGGATAAACGTTAATCTCCCTATATCGGAAATGTACGAGCTCGTCTATGTTCAGACCGGCGACGTCCATTTCGTCAGGGAAGTAAACGTTTCCGTAACCACGCCGACCGATGGTGAACCCTCTTACAAAACAGCATCCGTTTTGGTCCAAGGAGAGTTCGTCTAAATTGGGTAGGGTGTAATATTCGGGGCGGGTACATATGACCCCAGTGGGATGAACTTTTCTCTCGTCGGGTACGGTGGTTCGAGGCTCGTCCGGTTCGTCGTTGACGTCTGACGTAAGCAAATCGTTACCTACAACATCTGGACACGGTTCTATGCGGTCTGTGGCGAACAATTACCTTTTACTTACCCCTGACAGAACTGTCGTTGTTGATGTAAGTTTGCGTTTCTATCGAATTATTCAAAACGGTTTCGTTAGCCGTAGTACTACTGTTGAAGTCGAGCCGCAAGGGAGCGGGTTTGCCTTCCGAGGACGTCTTCGTCTCGGACAAGTTCTCTTTGTTCTCGGTATTGAGCACGTCTAAAATGTTGGAGCTCAGTAAACCGGACGAATTATCGTTACTCGACCTCGACTTGAGCACCAAGCGGCGGCAGCTGCTCTTTTGATAGCCGCCCGTTGGAGAATTGCCGATCATTTCCTCGCTTTTCGGTATGCTGTCGAACAAGCTGTCCTGAAACAAGTGGCACGAAACGTGTAAATATACAAAATGCCAACGAAAACTGAAAATTAATAATAAACTGAAGAAAAACATGACATTCTTTATTTGGTTCCTTACCTGCCCCTATTTCTCTCCCTTCACTACCCCCTCCCTGCTCCCTCTCCCTCTCCCCCCTCTCATTCGCTCTATTCCGCCTCTCCCTCTCTTCCCCCCTCTCTCTAATTCTCTTTGTCTGACAGTATCGCACTCCCTCATATTCCCTCTCTCTCTGACTCTCTCTTCCGCACTCTGTCTTTCTACCCCTTACTCCCTACCTCTCTCCCTCGCTTCCCGTCTGTATCCTTTACTTCCTGTCTTTCCTTCCCTTACTCTCTCTCCACCCCTCATTCTCTACCCCCACCCTCCCTTTCATTCTCCCCCTCCCTTTATTTCCCCCTCTCTAATTCCCTCCTCCCTCTCTTTCATTCATTCCCCCGCTCTCTCTCTCAGTCTCTCTATGTCTGAGAGTATCGCACTCTTTCATACTCTGTCTCTCTCACCCTCACTCTGTCTCTCTACCCCTTACTCCCTGCCTCTCTCCCTCGCTTCCCGTCTCTCTCTCACTCTTCCACTCCCTCGCTCACTCTATCCTCTTACTCCCTGTCACTCACGCGCTCAATCTATCCTCTCACTCCCTGTTACACACTTGCCCACTCTATCCCCTCACTCTCTATTACTCGCTCACTCTATCCCCTTACTCCCTGTCACTCACTCGCGCACTCTATCCTTTCACATCCTGTCACTCACTCGCTCACTTCCTGTCAATCATTCAGTCACTCTACGTTAGTCTGCCCTCCCTCTTTCTCTACCTTTCTCCCTTCCCTCCCTCTACTGCCACCCTTGTTTCTTTTTTAATTTCCTAAACTGATTGTGTTACCCTAATACTCTTCAAAGGAGTGACTCTCAGCTTCGAATTATGCGACACGTCAATCTTCTTCGACGCGTCCAGCAACGACTTGAGTTCCTTGGGGTTCGTCGTCGACACGACTGCAGTTTTGCCGGTGTTATACTTGGGTTCCAACCCGGCCAAATGGGGCGCATCCCCAAAAGGGTCGTTGGTCAACAGTGCCAGATTGTTGATCGGTTGCTGGTCTTGCACATTCAGCATGCTGAAACGCAAAGTCATACAAAAAAAAGTTCAAAGTTTGAAACGGAAACGCTTACGACGTTTGCTGTTGAGGCTGTCCCAATCCGAAGCCGGTACCACTCTGGAAGGGTGCGGCGGTGTTGCCAAATAAACCGGTAGTGCCCGAGCTGAATAGGCCGCCGCCCGGCTTTTGCTGGTTCGCGTTGCCAAATATGCCGCCGGTATTTGAATTCGTCATGGCTGCAAAAAAAAAAACAAAATTACTATCCGTTCAACCCTCTGTCGATGTTTTCGCTCACATCCGAGTGTGCTACCGAAAGCGGACTGCGTCTGCGCGCCGAAAGCCGGTGCAGGTTTGCCGAAGGTGCTGTTGAACCCTGTAGTGTTGGTGCCGAACGTGTTGGAACCGAAAGCTGCGACAAAGATACGATATAAGTCGTCGTTCGTGAACGAAAGCGACAAAAACATTACCTGGTGTCGTATTGGTTGTTCCAAACAAAGGCTTCGATGCGGTGTTGAACAACGACGATTGTGTCGATGCTGGCGTGTTGAAAGAGAATCCGGGATTTTGACCGGTCGTACCGAACGCCGGGACGGGCTGAGCGGGCTTGTTGAACAAACCGGTGCCAGCATTCTAAATAAATTGCGAATAACACTTTCGATTACTTATAAGAAAACTTTAAATTATTTGTTTGATCTGCGGCCTAACATTTAAGACTTGGCGAGTAAAAGACGACAAATTTATATGAGCGTGTCACAAAAAAATGGGTTTTGCAACATTCTAATACTGCGGATAGTTTGTGCATCAAAAATAACAAAATAAATCGATACACGAAATACTTTTATACCTTATTATTACCCTACTATTATCTTATATAAAACCACTTTTTTTATATAAAATGTCACTAAAACATGAATCGGAATCCGTTAAAGATTATAATGATAAAATTTACTTTTAGTGAAGTTGAAATTAAAATAAAAATTATGAATAAGTAAATAATACTAAATAATAATAAATTACAGGCGCTTGCTTTAATTTACCTCGTTTTACGCGACCCCCCCCCCCCCCTTCCACCAATAAAACGACCAATATTTGATTCGTCAGGGGTGGTCTATTGAGGGATTTTATGACAATAATACAGACATTTTAGTTATCACCGTGAGACAAATTCCCAGGGTCGCTATTGAAAAAATCATTGTGAGGATCGCAATTTGAAATAAAAATCACGAACGGCGCAGTGTATAAAATGTAAAAACGTATACAAAATTATGACGTTTTGTAGTAAACAATTTGAACCCAATTGATGTCGATACGGGGATATTTTCGAAATTTATAGCAGTGATGTTCTAGTTCTGACCTAGATTTTGGTTTAAAATTGTTAATTGTTATGCTTAAGATCCCTTTTAATAAACTTCCTATATTTTGAGTGACTGAGGCCGACCCTGTGCTATCAAATAAGCATATTGTAGGTATTCCGCACTGACTAAAAAATTATTAAGATCGATCCTGTCTCGGCAAAACAGGGACGTCGCCATGCCGATTTGCTTGATTCAACCTAATTTCAACTGTAAATAACATCATGACGCGCCTTTAACAAGGAAATCGGAATGACTCACGTTTGTTTACCGAAATATCAAAACATTGTGCGACATTGTGCAACAACTGGTGGAAACCGGACTAAACTAGTTATAATTGGTTTTGAGAACGGTATTTTTCCAAAAAGAGGCATTTACATTCACTAAATCAAATCGATATATGGCTTGGCAAGTAAAAATTCCTCACATAACAAAGATAACACAATTTTTTCAATCACTTTTTATCAATGAGATAATCTATTTATTATGCACAATTTTCAAATAACTTTTTGTCCTGTATCAATACTAATAAACAATAATACATAATTTATACAGGATGCTACATATTGCTATATAACTCCATGATAATGGAAATCTAAAATCTGTTAAGATAGTCGGGTTTTTAATTTTAATATAACATGAATAGTAATAGTTACATACTTCATGTTCTTCAAATTATTAGGAAATTCCAACTTTTTATTATTACTTATTAAAGCCCGTGTGGTTTTTTTGAAGTAATTAATACATATTTTGACTAGAAATTGAGGGTGTATCCTTGAGAATTTATTGTTTAGTCAGCTCTAGTTGCAAATTTTTAATACATTTTTATTGGAATACTCCGACCTTTCACATTCTATATTGACCCCACTGATATTATTAATCAGAAAAAATATTTCTTTGCTTCACTTAGATAAGAAGAAAATTGGAAACTCAATAATACAGACATTTTAGTTATCACTGTGAGACAAATTCCCAAGGTCGCTATTAAAAAAATCATTTTGTGGGGATCGCAATTTTAAATAAAAATCACGCATGGGGCAGGCAGTGTGTAAAATGTAAAGACGTGTACAAAATTATGAGGTTCTGTAGTAAGCAATATGATGCCGATAAGGGGGTAAAGCTCTAAGCTCTGTTCTAACCCATCTTTAAATTTGACGAACAAAACCTACCCAGACATAAAGAAACTTTTATTTAAAAAAAAAAAAGTGATTTTGCCAATATCAATTATTTTAAAAACGTGTATTCGTTAGTTGCAATATCAGTTTTACAATATTGCATAAATATTAGCAACTTAGAAGAAGAGCAAACAATATTTTCGAAATTTATAGCAGTAATGTGTATAGTTCTGATCTAGATTTTGGTTTAAAACTGCTAATTGTTATGCTCAAGATTTCTTTTAATAAACTCTCAGTACCAAGTGAATTTTCCATAATTTCATTAAAATTTTAAGCTTTAAGTAATAAAACAAAGGGAGAAATATTTCTAAAATGGTTCCTATATTTTGAGTGATTGACGCCGACCCCGTCTGTGCTACCAAATAAGCGTAGCCTTCCTGCCTATTTATTTATAGTATGCATATTGTAGGGATTCCGCACTGTTTAAACAATTTATTATTTTAAAAAATATTGAGAACGGTCCTGTCTCGCCAAAACAGGGACGTCGCCATGCCGATTTGCTTGATTCAAACTAATTTTAACTGTAAAAAACTTCATGACGCGCCTTTAACAACGAAATCGGAATGACTCACGTTTGTTTACCGCAATACCAAAACATTGGGCGACATTGTGCAACAACTGGTGGAAACCGGACTAAACTAGTTATAATTGGTTTTGAGAACGGTATTTTTCCAAAAAGAGGCATTTACATTCACTAAATCAAATCGATATATGGCTTGGCACGTAAAAATTCCTCACATAACAAAGATAACACAATTTTTTTAATCACTTCTTATCAATGAGATAATCGATTTATTATGCACAATTTTCTAATAACTTTTTGTTCTGTGTCAATATTTACAATCTCTGCAGAAAATGCCAATAAACAATAATACACAATTTATACAGGATGCTACATATTGATACTAACTCCATGATACTGGCAATCTAGAATCTGTTAAAATAGTCATGAATATCCTGATGCAATTAAAAACATTGAAGAATTATAAAGTATTCCGGGTTTGTAATTTTAATATCCCATGAATAGTAATAGTTACATACTTCATGTTCTTCAAATTATTAGCAAATTCCAACTTTTTATCATTATTATTAAATATGTTTTTTTTGAAGTAATTAATACATATAGATTTTGACTAGAAATTAAGGGTGTATCCTTGAGAATTGTTTAATCAGCTCTAGTTGCAAATTTTTAATACATTTTTATTGGAATACCTGGAACTTTCACATTCCATATTGACCCCACTGATCTCATTAATCAGCAAAAATATTTCTTTGCTTCAATTAGATTAGAAGAAAATTGGAAACTCAAACTCACCTGTGTGTTTGTGAATAACCCAGTGCCGAACGCCGAGCTAGTCTGGGGAGTAGTATTTGTACTGAACAAAGGTTGCGTTGGTGCAGCGCCGAACGGTTTCGCGGCTTGATTTGCTCCAAATGGGTTAGCATTTGGGGCAGCGGTGGTTGCAAATCCGAACGCTGAACTTGTAGGTGCTCCAAAACCAGTTGGTTTGGCCCCAAAGGGGCTGGCGGTGGTGTTCTGGCCCAGTCCAAATCCACTGCTCGGTGTTTGCCCAAATGGAGCTGTGGTTTGACCGAATGCAGTGCTTTGGCCAAACGCTGGTTTGTTGGCGTCTGTTTGTCCAAATAAGGTTGGAGCAGATGATACTGGAGCACCAAAAGTGGAAGAACCAAATCCAGGCATTTGTTGAGGACCTTATACATAGTTTGGCATTATAAATTGAACACAACAACAAAAAACATCAAACAAGTGACATTTAATTCATTTCCAAATGATAAAAAAAATATGTAATTACCTTTTCTATTGGCTTGGTAATCTTCAAATCTCAGCTCTTCAAAAGATTTATTTTCATACTCCTTCATACAGGTTATACTGTGGTGCTTGGTGTTGATATTTTGCGCATTGCCATTTTTCATCATGGTGTCTGTACCAGTCACTGGATTAAATTTTATGACGGTCCCAGTTTGTTGCCCACCAAACCCTGTAGAACTTGAAAAAAGTCCTGTACCTCCAGATGGAGTGAAAATACTAGATGTTGGTTGCTGGAAACCCTTCATTCATTAGGCATAAATTGTTAATAAATAATGTACTTATTACTTGTTGAGGTGAACCAAATAATGTAGGCTGAGTCTGATTTCCCACAAAGCCGAATGTTGTTGGCTTATTTTGCTGCCCAAATGTTGAAGTAGTGTTAAATAAGCCACCAGCTGCTGGTTGTTGGCCAAATAAATTGGAGCCTGAAATAGATATAACAGGTAACAAACTTTATAATTAACAAAAAGCACAATTGTATCAAACACACCAAAGCCCGATTGAGTGGTGGGCGCAGCCCCAAAGGTGCTAGTATTGGTTTGAAATAAGTTCGACTGCTGGGGCTGTGTGGACGGAAACATGGAAGATCCTGCAGGTTGACCGAACGTCGAAGTTGTAGTGCTTCCAAAAGCCGCGGCGGGTTTGGAAAAGAGGTTTTGATTTTGTCCAAATGGGTTGGTTGTATTGGCGTTTTGCCCGAAACCTAACAGCAATCGCTTTACTATCTAACGGAATTGCAAATACCAAAAAATCCACTTACCAAAAGAAGTGCTCGGGGCTGCCGCCCCGAAAGCTGGTTTGTTTCCCAGGTTTCCAAACATTTCTTATCTTAGTTATGTCACCACAATGCCAACAATAACATCACAATTTACAAATGTTCCAGTTCAGTGTACTTGCGAAGTAAAGTTTACTAACCAAATCTAAAAACGACAATCGGTTGGCAGCTTTTATCAAAATGGAAAATAAAATAATCGCAGACCACAAAAACCATAGATAGCAAAAATCAAGTTTTGGCTACGCTTTTAAATGTTGTCTATTTAGAGAATCAGGAATTGTTAGATACTGGAAACCGAAATTTTAACTGTAGTCAATAAATGTCACCCGGCGGCCCAATGTTGTCATACTGGTATATTTATTCGATTTAATGAAAAGTATCAAAAGTAAAAAAAATCCCAAAATTGTCTTTTAAAACTGCCAATTTCATGTTTCATAAAAAGGAATCTCCAACCTCCGTTCTAAAAAAAATCAATGATTTCAAACTATGTAATGGTAAAATTTACATTCCTTTAATTTTCCCATTTAACTTATAGCATGAACAGGACAAAATAGGTGGAAAATGAAATTAAATTGTCAAATAAATTAAAGTATAAAAAAATCTGTGATTTTTTAGTGGTAGTATTTTATGTAATATATTCCAATGCATTGTAATTTTAGATACACTATACAGTATCACAGTGTGTTAATTATCAACTATCAAGCAAGCTATCTGGAGAATAATAATTGAACATTTGGTATCAAAGTGGGAAAAATTCTGACTCAATCTTTGAAGTTTGCAGTGTTTGAAATTGAACATTTGAACTACTAACCTTCGATTAGAAATCGTAAATAGAAATATTTAACATTCAATTTTTATGTCACGACTCCTTTTCTTTTTAGAAAATTATGACGGTTCTGACATTTTGATTTGCGGTGATTATACCACAATTTCTAAATCCTTATAAGATGTGTGCTCTTAAAATTACCCGCCCTATTTTATGGCAACTTTCAAATTATACCCTTCTACAGGCGCAGACTACGACTCAAACGATTGCAAATTCCATCAGGTTTTACTACACAGTCAAACGAAAAGTGGCTAAAGATGAGAACTATTTATCAAAGCATTTATACGATAAAATCAGGATAAAAGGTCCAATAACGGTGGCAGAGTACATGAAAGTAGTGCTTCAGAATCCTATGCAGGGTTATTACATGTCGAAAGACATGTTTGGCGAGAAAGGTGATTTTGTTACGTCCCCGGAGATCACGCAGATTTTCGGAGAAATGCTGGCTGTTTGGTTCTTGAATGAGTGGCAAAAAATCGGTTGTCCTAAGCCACTTCAAATAATTGAATTAGGACCTGGCCGTGGCACTTTGAGTTCAGACATTGTTAACGTGTTTAGCCATTTCAAAGCGTTGCATAATGCCAGCCTTCATTTAGTGGAGATAAGTCCCGTACTGAGTGATATTCAAGCTGGAACACTCTGCCTTCAAAGCAGTTTAAACAACAATAAGAATGCACTTGTTTATAGACATGGTAACATTTATACATTTCGATGGGTGATATTTTAAGATAATTCGTAGGCATCTCAAGACATGGCATTCCAGTAAGCTGGTACAAACAGCTCAAGGATGTGCCAGAGGGATTTACATTGTTGTTGGCTCATGAGTTTTTTGATGCTCTGCCAATTCATAAATTTCATAAGACTTATGCTGGTTACAAAGAAGTTTTGATTGATATTGATAATTCAGAAGAGAAGGAATACAAGTTCAGGTATCATATATTCTTCTAATTGTTAATCATTCAAACATAAATTTATGTTCTAGATATGTCTTAGCCAAAAATGATACTCCCATGCTAAAAGTGTTGCTCAAATCTAATGAAACCCGTGATCATGTGGAAATTTCTGCAGATAGCCTCCTCATTTATGAGCAAATATGCCAAAGATTGGCTTCAAGTGGTGGTATAGCTTTGATATGTGATTATGGACACAATGGCACTGGAACTGACACTTTTAGGTACTCAAAGATTAATTTCAAAGGCTAATTTTATAGAATAAATTTTGCAATATTTCATTTTAGAGCTTTTAAGAAACATACTCAAGTAAATCCTCTAGTGAAACCAGGCACTGCAGATCTAACAGCAGATGTAGACTTCAGTCTTATAAGAGACATAGCGAACAAAACCAATGATGTTTTAGTCTTTGGACCGGCAAAGCAAAAAAACTTTCTGCAAAGAATCGGTATTGAACATAGAGTGAAGGCCCTTGCAGAAAACATGGAAGACAAAAAAGATGTTGAGCACCTGAACTCATGTTACAAATTTTTGACCGAAGAAAGTAAAATGGGTGAAAGATTTAAGTTTGTCGCCCTCATGCCTGCAACCATGAAGAAAATTATCGATAAATACCCAGTAGTGGGATTCGTCTGAGTTCCCGCTGAAATTAGTTGTTGTTTATGGTCTGTGATAATAAATTGTTGATATAGATTCAGTTTTGGTTATTTTAAATGGCTAGATTTGCAAAAAAGGTTAATTATTAGTTTCGCCTCAATTCCACAAAATATTATGCACCAGGTATCCATGCCAGGATCTACTACTTGATTTTTTTTTGTTAAATTGTGTAATATTTATTTTCTTTCTATCCAAATGTCAAAAAATGCGCATTCATACCAATGTGCCAAGTGAGCTTTTTTTCATTTACATGTTCCGCGCACCGCATGTAATCTTTATGAGGTTGTTGAATTTTAAACTTTGTGGTTCTCAGTGAAGCAGGAATTATTTATTTCTAAATGTTTAACAAAAGTTAATTATTACCTGACATTTTATTTCTATAGTGACAATTATTACTGAATTAGAAAAAACATTTTAAGCCGCCCTATTTTTTGTATAAAACTAAACAAATTACTTATTTCAGAATAATTTTAGGTGATATAAAGATATCTCTAAATTTGTGTAAAATATGTTGTTTATAACTACCAGGATCATCGACCACCAACCCGTTCTCTTCTTTTACCACTTTTTTTGGAGAGTTGTTTAACGATTTACAGCCAATAAGCGCCATAGTATATACAATTAATTTTTGTGTGCAAGAAAAAGATACAAATTTTTGTGTCCGTTGTGTTCAAACTATTGTTTGTAAAATATTTGCTTTTATAGTTTGAAAAGTGGAAATGTCCAGAAGACCAGCACCACATTTCAGACGAGCTATAAACTTGAATAATGAGGGAATAATTCAACCTTTTATTCTGGCATAAAAAATTATGTGGCCGATTTATTAAAATTAAATTCGATCACTAAATTATTACACCCGCAAACTTTAAAACATTTTATTGCACTATAAAAAGAAGTAAAATTAAAACAAAATAAATTATACAATCGCTCAACAAAATAGTTTAATCACTGTCCAATTGTTCGATAATTCCATACTCTTGGGCAACCTTCAAAGCTGCGTCAATTGTTTCGGCTATTTGCTTCGTCTCCCCATCATTGTCAGACAATAATTTCAAAGCCATCAGTATTTCCATGATATCAATCTCCATTAGCTTCTCTGCCAAACTCTTGGAAGTGGTTATAATATTAGCAATAATACATACTCCTCTGTACTGCATTCCGATCACGTCATTGACTAGCAGACAGTGCATAGCATCCAACCAATTGGTAGAGTCGAATACTTTCTCACAACACTTCTTGCTGAAACCCGTGAGAATAGCCAGCATTCCTGCCGCCGCCATAGCAGTCTCCTTGTCTTCGTCCAGGCAACAGGAAACGACAAATTTAACTCTATCGTTATCACCTTCGAAAAACTTCACCACATCTTCGGACATTGCCATATTGCACATACACTGAATGGCTGCTCTGCTTATTTGTTCGTGGTCTTCGTACATGTAGTTTTCTATTTTGCCCAAACCTCCCTCTTTCACTATCCGCTGGCGGGCAGCTTCACTTAATTGAGCCAAATTGCACAAAGCCATTAGGGCTTCAAAATTCTCCAAACCGGTACAATCTGGATGAAGCAGCGATAACAATGGTCGAATGCATTCCAACGCACGTTGGCCTGGAAATGCTACCGCTGGGTCCATAGTTATACCTATAAGATATTTTTAATATATACGTTAACTCAAAAGCACACAGACACAAATTAGAATGACACTAAATCTATTTGATTTTACCGAGATCTAAACAACAAAGCTCCTAACAGGGGAGGTGTCCAGTTTATAATATTAAAAATTAATCTTGGCTCAAAATTGAAAAAATCATTAACGCAATCAATGATAGAATCCTTTTTGGCTTCTGTGATTTCTAATTTCTGCAGAAGATTAGTAGCGAAAGGAGATTTGGTCCGAGACTTGCACTATTTCAGCAAAGATGTTTGAGAACACTGATGGAGATCTTCTTGCTATACTGTCTGATATAAACTGCAATACAATCCAAACAGTTCAAAGAATATACCCCTGAACTGAGGCAGGTGCAATGAAATATTATCGAAGGAGATCAGGAATCGTTCTGGAGTTTTTGATTTTATTATATGATATGACAATTTGTATTTTTTGGCAATTTTGTAAAATAACTTATTGGTAGAATGAAGGGGAGAACTGTTATGAATGTTATTGGAAGTGCAAAGTTAAACAGCTTATAGAACAAAGAATAAAAAATCCTGAATTCGATTGATTTACCTTTCCTATCTAATTGAAGATTCAGAAATGGTAAGTTAGAATAAATTTTCTCATGTAAGAAGCTGATAGACGTTAGAAATTCGGTAAGCGTTTGTTGGTTACCATATCAGACAATGCAGATATCGACCACATATCTTGTCGAAACTGGTAAGTATGTGGAGAATTGGGTATCCATAATTTTTCTTTCAACATTGTTCATGAAAATTTCAATTAAAAAAATTGAAAGGCAAGATGTCATTCCAGTATGTGTCTGTGTGAGTTTAAGTTTCCATCTTTGTATGTATGTAAGTTATTTTTCTCTTTTAAAAATTACTTTTGATCTGATGATGCCGTGTGTTTTTGAGGTCTTGACTTCAGAGTTTGAATGATTCTTTATAATTTTGTGATACCAGGTCTCTTTGATGATGGGCCATTTGTTTTATTTATTTTGAGGAGATTAGAAGCTAAGGGGTACAAGTGCAGACATGTTTTGAAAATAATGATAATTATTAATATTGTTAAGAAAATAATTATTAATATTGTTAAGAAAAATT